GACCGTGCAAGCAGCATTGCGTCGAAGTCAAGAAGCTTGGGCGCATCGTTCCGCCGTGATTCGTCCCATCAGCTGATCCATTTGGACAGGGGAGTAAATCAGAGTGCTTGAGCTTTCATGGGAACGATAACCCGAGAGTCTCTCTCTCCCTCTCTTTCTCTCTTTCTCTCTTTCTCTCTTTCTCTCTTTCTCTCTTTCTCTCTTTCTATCATTCTCTATCTCGTTCTCCCTCTCTTCCGTTCGCTGCTGGCACGCACGCCAGTATCTCCATCTTCGTCGGAAGCCGCACGAAAATAGTAGCAATTCTGGTTGCTGCAACAACCAGAAGCACCGAGAGACGTCGGCTCGCTCTATAGCGGAATTCGAGCGAGAAATTTCGAAGGAGCGAGTTTCAAGCAATGATTTTCTACCTCATCATCCTCGGTACATCCGGCTCTCGTGTACACCAGCCGTTATCCCGCTGGATATTGAATGTACTCGCGCAATTTTCTCGGGAAAATGTAATCCAGAAGTTTCGTTCCGCGTTTTGAATATTATGCGAGATATTGTTTGCAAATTCACTGTATTGTTTGCAAATATTCGTTTCATTTGATTCGTGATATTCTTCTTTTAGATGTACAGATGCCATTTTTGTAAAAAATAATTGCTTGATTTTACAAAATGCTTGGTTATGTATTGTATTATGGTGTTGTATTATATTTGAAAAATTTATTTATACGTTTATTTAATATTAATTTAAAGATATTGATTTTAATATGCTTTTTCATATGTTTTTTATGTTTTTTTGTTTGTTTATAATGTACTACTTTTGACCATCTGAACGTCATTTCTGTTGGAAAATAGTTAATCAACACGGTAAGACGATTTTTACTGAAATGTTCACGTTAATGGGTATACGATGTTCATTTCCTGACAGCGAACAATATATTTTGATTATGTCTGTCTCATTACTCGTATCATAAAGTAGTCTATTAGATACGGATGAAGTGTATGTAAATTCGTGTAACGATTCGTTGCATGTTCATTAGGGCACTGTCATATTTGACTTTATTACAATATTAATACACATAGGTAGATGTAACGGGAAAACGCATTGTTTTTTTCCTTTAGTTCCGACGTTTTCCTGTCAACTTTAATTAACCTATGAAAATGAAAATGTTCGAAGAACTTTACATAGGATTATTATATTTATTTATAAATTACAAAATAAATAAACAGGAATATCCTTGATATTTACTTTTTTTGGAGGTTTTGAGAAATCTTGCACGGGGCCCGGAAGATTCTAGATACTGCCTTGATCATCGGGATTTCCCCGGCAAGCAGAATATATCTCAGGATCCAAGAGGTCCATTTAGTTTATTTGACCCAAATTCTTAATCCATGTTAATATTACATTAAAAGTAATGCAAGCAATGCAATTTAAAAATGCAGAAAATATTCCTATCATTTTTCTCTGGAAAAAGATTTATTTTGAAAAAAGATTTAAAAATCAGTACCATTAGAAAATTCGAAAATATTGACTCCGAGGTCGAAGAAAAACCCTTAATGCAGCGCTAATCCTTGGAACTTCCCTGTCAGATACAAGACACCCTGAAAAATGAGAAATCCTTGGAAATATTCTTGTAAGATAAAAATTTACGTAATACCAACAAAATTGATTAATCACGAAATAATGTTCCTCACTTACCACAAACGATAAAATTATTAAAAAAACATGGAATAAAAATAGTAATAGAAACATTTACGTGTTCACCATTTTATTTAAATACGTGTAACATGAATAATTTTATCAGTTATATTCTTATGGAACTTTCTTTCGTAAATTCTAGGATGACAAAACGAATATTTCTCCTTTTTGTTCGTTCTTATTTTACGTTACATCGACTGTAAGGTTATTAGCGACAAAATGAATATTTCATTATGGCAGATTTTCATGCATTTTTTATATAGAAAGAAAAAATAATTCAGATGCTTTAATAAAATTTAATTCCCCTGTAGTATAATTATACATTTAATCCGTCTGGATTGTTAATGCAGGAAATGAAATTACATTTCTCCCGGGTCTTGACGGTACCGGACAATAAAAATGCTAATCGCGGCGGTGTGTCTAGTCACAAATTTCCAGAATCCTGAGGTGTGCTCGGTGATTGTTAGGAAATTCAGGAAGGTAGTGTAATGGGCGATTTTCATGCAACTGAAACATCATCCTCCCGTGTCCGGATGCAAACGAGGTAAACCGGGAGCGCAGTTGCGCATTTACTTAACGCTATCACGCGCGAAGTTACGATGGCATGTCTGAGAATAATTATACATGCGTGCGTAACAGCTCGGTGGCGGAATCGTGGCGCTTCGCGCTAAAGTAGGGGAATGAAAATTATAATACCACTATACGGGGTCTCCTATTCATTGTATTCACTTAGAATCGTAACCGGAATAATTGCTCTATTTTCAAATTTATGCGTGGAAACGATGACAAAGAAATTTGTCTCGACGGATATTCGAGTTGAATTTCAGGATTACCTTAATTTCAAATTATAACAGAAAAGGTTTTTATCTTATAGAGAATTTGAGAATGTCTGCATTTTAAATTGGGAAATATCAGATGAATTGTAACATATCTTTTTGTGAACTGTATGAATTGTGAATTTCAGAATTATGTGGTTTTTTTGTTGTTTATTCGAAAGAAAATTAATTAGTATTTTGATGTATGATACAGGCGAAAATATTGTAAACCGACGTAGCTTCGGTCGTTTTAGTTCACCGCTTCGCGTATAACCAGAAATTCCGTGTACCAATCGATGTCACAAAATTTCCTTTTTGCGACTCATATCAGTGGTTATTGGGTTACGAGGCGCAGTTCCCATTATTTGCTTTTTTAATTGAAAACAGTAAGTTAATACTCCGAAGTTCGCTTTTCGCCGAGCATCGATCGATATCTATTTTTACAAAAGGTGACCGTACCAATTTGATAAATCGAAAGAAACCGTTCGTGATACAACAAACAATGTAGCTGTGATGTAAAATTTTCATATAGAATCAACAAAAATTAAGCAAAACGAAGAAGCATAAATAATACTCTGATCTTTAATATTAGATTAAAATGAATAATTAATCTCACATATACACTATTATATTTTAAAAAAGGAAAAGTACAAAGTCACAACAAAATTTTCATTTTGGTATCACAGAAAATCATAATCCTTGCATCACTACTATTACACTTTCTACAATTGGTAAGCATAAAATCACCAAGAATACAATTATAATAAAAAAGAAAATGATTACTACTCCTATTATATTTAATTACTACTATTATACTATTTATAATCTGAAAGTATAAATTCACAAAGAAAAATAATTATAATAAAAAAGAAAATAATTACTACTACTACTATATTTAATTATTACTCTTATACTATTTACAATCTGAAAGCATAAAGCGACAAAGAAAAATAATTATAATAAAAAGAAAATAAGTACTACTATTACTATATTTAATTACTACTATTACACTCTTTACTATTTGGAAACCTAGTCATAAACAAACAAAATTATAGCAAAAAGACGTAAAATTCAATTTCGTCATCAGGAGACGAGAATCATGATCGTTACATCAGCTCAAGAATGGAGGAGGATAGGTTGAAGATGAACGGAGTCACAAGAGTCACACTGAGATCGCGAGCCAATATCACGTAGATAAAACGTGAATGAGACAGCCCGTGCTCGATCCCATCCCCCTTTTCCACCCCGTGCCCGCCACCATAAACCTGTCGCGGGTGTCGCGCGACACGCGTCTCCCTGCATCCGTGGCTAAATATAATATTCGTGCGTATTTTCAGCGATGAATGAAACTGACGCTGAAAGCATCATGGGGTGCCGCGTGGCCAGGCATCCGTGATCGAGACACGCAGGCTCCGATCTACGTGAAAAATCTCTTCCTTCGTTTCTTCTTTCTCCCCTTTTCTTCTTTTTTCTTCTCACTCTACGCTTCCATAATCACAAATAATAATAATAATTTATTAATGGAAGCCCTTTGATACAAAGAGAAATAACGACGAGAATACCGATGAAAATAATTTTTTTCAACCCTTTTCTAAGTTCATTTTTGTTTCTCCACCCTTATCAGTCTCTTAATAAATTTTCGTTTTTGTGTTAACTTATTGTATACATTCTGAGTAAAAATTATATTATAATATTGTAATATTCTATACCACAATTGTATTTTATTTTGTTCTTTGAAGATGAAGTTATGAACGTAATTTTACTACAGCTGCGTGTAAAAGTCTAGTCGAGGGGGTTAACAGCGAGGATGGAAATTGACCGACTCGAACACGATGATTGATTGATCGCTAGTCGTTGATTGAACTCAATGCCGCGAAATTATTCGCAGGAAAACTTTCCATTTTGTTTTTCAACCCTCGTTACTCTGCATTTAAATATTTCTCCTTTGAAATTTTAGTGTGGTTTGATTTTTTCCAGGCGGTATGAATTTTTATTAGTTTTCGAAGTATATAAATTCTGTTTGAGGAGTTATTAAATTTTGTTGAATTTCATTTGAATTTTATATTTGAGAAAACTCTGGAAATTTTTATATTTCATAAATACACAAAAATTATTTTGAAAAACGTTAGCTTCTGAAAGTTTCTAACAACGTTAGTTAAACAAATTCCTGAAATTATAATTCAATCTCTGCAACGAACAACTTAAACTTCACATAAAAATTCATTAATTTAGCTAATATCCTCTTCAAACATCATTTATATCATAAATAAATGTTATGCGATGAAATACCTCAACATCTCACTAGAAAAACCATTTAAATTCGAATTTTGTTCGTTGCGTTTTTAGAAGATGATTCTAAAGTCCCTAAATTCAGTTCTAATAATCGAAACCGAACTTACATGAAAGGGTGAATGGTGAAATACACACAATTGCGTTGCAACAAATGGAATTCTACCAGATAGTAGGAATAATTGAAACGTTTTCGCTGTTTCAGAATATCGGAGTGGCGGCAACGGTCTCTCGAGCAACGGGTCACCATGGCAGTCGGTAAGCTTTTACCCGTTCTTGGATCAAACCCATACCCACCTAACCCGGGGCTGCATTTCGCACCCGTGTCACGCGTTTCACGCATAATCACGCGACCATGTATATTGCTACCGTCTATTCCGCCCTGTCGACACGTTCCTCGTTTTCTCTGTTTCATAGCGTGCAGTAGCATACGCTACGAGAATGTTCCTCTCCTTCCACAGAATCTCTTAAAATCTCTAAAATATTTAAACAAGAAATTCCTTAAAAATTCCTCTCTATACTTAATAAAAATCACATGAAATATTTATTTTCTTCGTAAATAATTAAATATAGAAATAAAAATAGGAACAGTAAATGTTTTTTCAAATTTTTATTTTATTTTTTCTGCAAATATTAACACCATTTATTTTTCATTTTTTCATTCGTCGCAATCGAAAATTTCCATCTGTAAATCTTTTCAAAAACTGCTTCTCAATTTTACGGATCGAATGATCAAGATGTTTAGAAAGGGTAGAAGATTTTTCCTCGTGGCGGTGGCTGCTTTGATGTCTCTTTTTTTCTAACTTCTACAAGATCGAAGACACCCTTCAGAGTAAAGGCAGCGGCTTCTTTGACTTCCGATTCCCGTACAGAAATTCGAAACTTCGCCTGTCCCTCGATCACACTTCGATAGAAAGGAAAAATAGGTTTTTCGGAGGCGACACCGAGAAGAACGTCTCGTTCAAGACTGGAAGGGGCTGCTTGAGTTTTCGAACACGTACGGGCAACGCAGGGAAAACAGGTGGAATCTGTCGAAAGATCTCGATCAGCGATCGAAACACGGATTCGTACGCGACGAACGTACTTGGGAACCGTTCTCCTTTCGATTCTCACACTCTCCTCACGTAATACCTGTCGGCCACGCGAATTTCACGAATTCTTCCATGATTCGTTGCGTCCTTTATTTCCAATTTCCACTGTCAGCTGACTGTTTCGTGTCGGAAAATTTATTCGACGATTTAATTTCTTATGCAAAAATTGGTTTTAATCAATTTAAATACGCTGAAGGTCGTTACTCGTAATGAATTTAAATTTCTAGCTGCTTCTTTTTCAACCCCCTTTACAAACCTAAAAGAAATTTATATTGAATATTCTATATAAATGTTACTACTTGTCTATTTCATTTAAATCATTTTCAAAATACAAATGAATTTGCATTTTATTCCAACCATAATGACACAACCAATTTTAATTATCCCCAATACACTAACACCCCCTTAGAGAAAAAATACTTCCATTCTTTTAGGACAAATATCTCTCAACAATATTGTTCTAAGGAAGAACGACTTGATTGCACTTGCTTCCGTTCATCCCCTAAAATGTCTTAAAGCCATTGCATCTCGCGCCCTCAACCCTCAGATTCTAGCGGTTCCTCTGTTGGGACAGCTGACAATCATGGAAACGGGTCGAAAGGTCACCCATTTCCAAAAATATTTTCACAGGCCGGTGGAACTCGTTTACAGGAAACTTGGCTTGTATCTACTCCCCTCCGCCCATCTTCCCCTCCGCGAGCAAGGCCGATTCATCTTCGAAGAGTAATAACGCGTGGATTGTGAGCGACGCTGGCGAACTTCCGGTGCCGCGTACGTCTGCCCCGTTCCTTGCTTCTGGTTTATGGGGTGGGGACAATACAACGTCCGGTCCAGCCCCCCACTTGGGCCGGCCACCATTCGATTCGTTCATGGCGTCCTATAGGCATCGCGTATCTCGCTACGAGCAGTCTCAGGTGGACCTCGTGTTCGTCTAGTCAAGTGAACCTTTTGTTTCCCTTCATTTCCACCTACACTTGTTCTTCGTGATCGTGAATTTTCGATCGACCTTTAACTCTGCTGTGATTCACAGTTCATTTGACAATCGAAATCATGTTGAAAAAGGTGGATCTGCATTAGCAGCAACTTTGCTTTGCATCTTTTTCCAAGCAAAGAGCATCATTGAAGAGACTGAGATAATTGTAGTGTTGAAGAGAGTGATTTGGGTCGAGGACGACTCGAAGGCGTTAGAACTCAAGGTTACAGGATTCACGTAGAAAAGGATTTTAATGTCCACTGATTTTAAATTAGATTAGTTTCTTTTTTAACTGATTTGTGGTTGGATATTGTGGTTAAGGACCTACAACGTTTCGCCAGTCTATTATTGGCTGTTTTTAAAAGCAACAACTGCATCTAGACACTTAAGATTTATCACTGATAAAAAGATTGATCGGGACACAGGAAGTGACTCTAGCATCGTAGGATACTTCGAGAGTTTCCAGGAGATTTATTAACGTTTGAAGTGTAGCATTAGGTTTAACTTTAGGAACGAGTTAGAAGTTCCTCAATCATCTACCCTGAGTACAGATACTTCGCATTTCCTCTCGAAAGACTTGATAAATCAAAGTTTACTTGAGAACATACGTAACAAGTGGAATAAGTTACAGAAACTTTTCTCATCACATATACCGAAGTAACAGACTCAAAAGATCTGAGAACCTTTAAAGCCAGTTCCAACTGGAGAACTAAGTCTAATCACTGGAATCAATATACACTGAACCTCGCTACCGTTGACTCCAAACTCATAAACACAGAAGTTCAAAGTGCATCGCCAATGCTAAAGTTCGCAGAACCAAACTAAAAGAAAAAAGTGGAAGTGTCTCCTCAAAATTCCTCCTTAATCAAAAAGCTCTAAAACCCCAAGAACCTCAAACGCTGACGACTCCAAAACAAATTAAGAAGCTCCCAAATATAATCTAAATCCAATCAAAATTTATCTCGAATCAAGACACCTAAAGACCCCTAAAGCTTCTAAAACACTTATAGCCGATTCTAAAGATTCCATAACAGCTTAATTAACAATTCAAACCCCTTTTTCCCATCATTTACCCCGAACCAAGGACACTAACGTTCACCCAGAACACTCGGTTGAATCATCGATGACATCGTCAGTGGATTAAACCAATCCAGAAGCGTTCTTTGGTGATCAGACTTGACCAGACTCTATGAGTTCGGGTCCGTATGTTCACAGACAACCCCTCGTATTTCTCGTTGTCGAGCGGTGCAGCGTCGTCGTCGAACGCGACGGCCGCGACGTCGACAACGAGCGTGGCGTTCTCGCCACCAACTAAGGCTCCCACGGGCCTGACGGCCCTGTTCCGTCGGCGGCCTTGCAAAATGGGCGCGGGCTCCTCCGCGAGCGTGGTATCAACGTCCACAGCCAGCACCACGCTAATGCACCAAGAAAGCAACCGGAGCAGCGCGTCTGGCGCGTCGACGCCCTCGACGCCCACCGAAGAACGCGTCCCGATGCTCTCCAGAAATGGAAACCATGGTGGAGCTAACCAGAGAAGGAGCTTCAGGAATTTGTTCAGGTCCGTCAGCGCAAATGCTGATCACGAGAGGACGCAACAGTTCCTCAAGGGCGACCCGAGACCATCGGATGTCGCGCCACCCTCGCCCTACCTACCCCACAGGTTAGTGGATAACTGGTCACTGGTCGTCACTGAAGTCTAGGTTATTCATGTGTGAATTTACGCTATTATTGAAGGACAGTACAGAGAAGGTTGTATTTACGATATTGGTTATTTTATTGGATTCACCCTATGCACTCGGAAGTTTCTCGACAGAAATATTCGATATTTTCTGATGAGATATAAACGATCTCCTCTGAAATTTATTTAATGATAATTCACACATAAATTAGGAAAAGTAATTACTGGAATATAGTATTTTGTAATCCGGGTGATGTAATGTTTACTGTAACCGACAGGTCACATTCACACTCCGAAAATGACAGGAGACGACCTGGTCGAAGTAGAGCAGTCCTGAAATCTGCGAGCGAGCTGCTTTCGAACGATATGGTGTATTGTGGTCTGGCTAGGGATAGTCATCGCCACGACGACGATGACGAAGATGACGATGATCCTGATTCTAGCGAAGTTTTCATCGGCGTCGATGATGCAAGGTCAGCGAATTTACTATTCATTCTCTACTGAGTATTGGTTTTGATAAAACTGAATTTACAGTTTATTTATTATAGCATAAGTTAAATAATTAATATAAATTGATACTAAAAAGACTAACGGGTTTCAGGTACTACAACCTATCATCCACTCTCCCAGCGCCAGGTTCAGCAGCCGCAGGCCGGAGAAGACACTCGATAGGCACTTTCTTAGGTAAAGATCGTGGAGCAAATGTCAAAGACAACGTTGCCAAGAAGCAACCTCACAATTCTGCAGCTATAGTAGAACCAGACACAATGGCGCCACCTGCGCCAGTGGATACCGTTGATGGTGTCGAGAACAGGACAGGAAGGTCTTGCAGCAGGTCCAGGCGCAGGCGACATCGCAGTTCCTCCAGCAGGGGTAAGTAAGCAACAGGATTAAAGTAATTCGAAGTAATAATTTATTGAATGAAGTTACAATTATCGAGCATTGATCAATTTACATTGATCTAACTAATTCAACACGTCGATAAGGGAAAAGGAGAATAATCCTCATAGATAAATGTGCATCGTGTAAGGAGCAAAAGTATTCAATCAATGGCACGGTCAATAAAATAAAGAATCCGCCATTTGAAGGGAACAAACCTTATCCATCTATCTACATGCTCAAATTTCATACAATAAAACCACACTAACGATTAAATAGTATTTCAGCAATATAAAAGTCGAAAATTGAAAACCAGGAAGAACGTTCCCCTCAAATGGTTGATTTATATATTATCCTCTATCTACCTGTCATTTCAATGATTATTATACAGAGTAGTGTAACAAAAAATTAAAAGACTAAAATATACAAGAATAAACAAGCCTACTAAGTAAGTAAACAAAAGTAAACAAGAAATATATAAAATTTATGAAAAAAAGTAACGATAATGCAAGTATAAAGAAATACAAACGAATAAAGATACAAATAAACGTATGAAGCTGTTATGTAGATGTCAATTGAGGCCATGAATGATTCTAAAGACATTAGATTGGCCGACCAAAGGCATCTCAGAATCATCTGAAGCGGCGACCTCAGGGCCAATTTTCACCGAGAATCCGCGGTCCATTCTTTCCTCCTTGTCGGTCAATCGCGACGGTAATTATCCCCCGACCACTCGAAACAAGTGCAACGAACACTGGGCCTCGCGTTCCCACGGGACTACTCGATCGCGCGCCGCCCGCATCGCCCGCGTCCGAATCACGTACAAAAGCCTCGTTACGAATTCGAGCCGCCTGGTATATACGCGCGGCTTTCGATCGGCTCGACGCGACGAGAGCCCGGTGCATTCGAATCGAATTCGCGTCGTTTAATGCGGCACTGGGACCGCGAAACTCGACACGGGAATCGTCGAACGGAGCCAAATTGATGGAATGATTTAGTAAACTGACCGTTTCGATACTATTGTGACAGTATGATCGAATGTTGGGCGTTTGGTAGCGAGTTTTACTTTCGTTTGTGCTCAGGTTGCTTTTAAAAGTAGAGAAAAATTGAAGTCTTAATCTGTTATAAATGTAGATTGTGAATTTGTTTTGGCTTTTGACAGGTGAAAGTTGGTAATCGTAATGGGATAAAAATGTATTATGAATTTGAAAATTCGAAGGTCTGAAGGTCTGAAGGTCTGAAGGTCTGAAGGTCTGAAGGTCTGAAGGTTTGAAGGTTTGAAGGTTTGAAGGTTTGAAGGTTTGAAAGGTTGAAAGTTTGAAAGTTGTTGTTAATCATTATAAAATACAGATATATTATGAATTTGAGTATTTCAAAATTTTTTAATTTTTTAATTTTTTAATTTTTTAATTTTTAAATCTGAAAATTTAAAAAAAATTGAAAAACCAACATTTATAAATTTTAAAAATCCTTTATTCCTCAACTCCAAATTCAAATGTTTTTCCTATTTTTCAATCGCTCAAGAGCAGCACAGATTCTTAACTCACAGAAACCGTGCTCCCTTCCATCGAACCAAAAAGGGGAACCTCGTAGCGAACGGACTGAAATTGCATTTTATCTCGGTTTCACGGTTCTTAACTTGGAAGATGAATGATTTACATAGAAATCCGCGGCGCACCGATAACAACGAAGCGACCGCGGTTTCCGTCAGGGACCACGCGTTCCTCTCCTTGAAATTCGACTTAGGAAATCGCGGCTCTAAAGGATATCCGGTGATCTTTGATCGGCTCGCAGATAATCTCCCGGCCTCTCCGTGAGTACGTGTGTGGACAGCACGGAGGTGGACGCGGGGAACGTCTCCCCCGGAAACACCCTGTACTTTTAGTATTCTATGGAACGATCGTCGCTTTCCGATCTACGACCGATCGAACCGGAGCCAGCCGAAACAGCCCGGACAGATCGTAAAATTTACGGCGTTACGTGATCCGTCGATTACGGATGAGACGTCAGTCCCGCCGAAACACATCGATTCCACGTGATCGGCCCGCGGCTCCTGGAACTTATGTCGTCCACGTTGGCCCCCGCGTGTCCCTTTTCCTGTTCGATCGATCGGCAACGGGACCTGCCGGGGATCGATCGAGACCGATCGACGAAACACATTATAAGCGACGTTATGTTCGTGGAATGAAAAATGGACAATGGCATAGACGTTTTCAATCATTTCTTTTTAATCTCTTGCGCTGAAATTAATACGAAGATTTAGCAAAGTTTTGCACTTAGAATGTTGCTTTTACCTATTTTACGCGCGTATGTACGGTAATTTGATGTGTCAATCATTTTGTATAGAATGATACATTTCGAAAGGGTCTAGTACGTGTAACGCGACTAGACTATCAATATGTATGAAACGTCATTGGCAATTTTGGTACAAAAATATCTCTACTCGAGTGGTACGTCTTTCTAGTGCAAGAAGTAAAGGAGAAACTTTTTAAAAAGTGTCTAATTTGTTACTTTTGGTATTTGATTAGAATGGTTAAGTTGTTGAATAGACTGAAGATTTAGAATATTTTTGAGGTGGATATAGATCTTTATGTAGTAATTTCTGTTTCGTTATTTATAAAAATAGGTAGGTGTGTATAATATGTTGCAATACATATTATATTTTTAAACAGCTAGTGTGACCATTGATTTCGAATATTTTTGAACGACAAAATGTCAACGGATGTAATGTTTCGTAACGAAACGATTTCATTGGGTAAATCGCGTGACAAACGTTCTATCGTTTTTCCAGCCGCGCACGCAGAGATCGTTGCCTCGTTGCGGGTAACGAGTATCGTTTACAACCAATTTTAGGGCAGTTGATGGCAAATTACGTGCAGCGCGACGCGACGATACAGATTTGAGCATTCATTTCTCTATTACAAAGAGCACAAGCAAGATATTCAACACTGTATTACGTTCTATCGACGTCAAACGCCAGAACTGCGCTTATACATAATATTCCATGAAACATTCTCACATATGACAATAAGTTGTATAATTGTATATTGTATAATAACCATTAATCTTTTATTGTTCGCAAAAGAAACAAATAATTATTTCCTAAAAATATTACGGTAATTACATCTATTTTCAAAGTACGATTCACGTTAGTTAAGCAACTCCTAACATCGAAGCCAGCTTCGCATTAAAGCTGGATTAAGACCGGAAATGAAGCGTGGATATCCGCACGATGCGGCACTCGTAATTACGCCGGTCGCAGAAGTCAAGTGAAAAAATTAGTTTCGGACTGACGAGCAGTTTTTCTCTCCTCCCCTCGATCGTATCCTCCATTCAATCCTCCATCGTAAAATACGCGAGACATTTATTGCAAGTATTTAACCACATAATCCGGGGAAGAAAGTATATAGACCTATAAAACATTCAATAAAATACGAACGAAATGGGAAAGGAAACATCACAAATGTCGATGCGACATAATAGGAATTCAATCTAGAATTTTATTTTCACGATCGGAGTGATTCGGTTGTTTCCTTGTCGATTCTCCGACTATTCCTGATACAATATTTAATCTTCTATTAATATCGGAGATCGATAACGGAACCAATCATTCTCCAGTTTCATTTGAATTTCTCGGGGTGGGTGTCCACGAACGAACAATGATTCTGGAGGCTGTTCAGAACAATGTTGTCTCAGTACTCGATGTATCCAACGTATCTACTTATATAAAGATAATATTTCTTAAATTGTACACTTCTAGAAGACATTTAAATTTTATTGTATTATACAATATTCAAATCAAAATCGATTTACGTAATTATCTAGCACTGGAAAAATAATATGTTTCTCGGTACCTTAAAAATGAACGATTTTCAAATTATCGAACTTAGATCTTAAAACTTACAATTCATTAACCTGTATAATAAAGTAACTGTTATAAATGTAATAATTAATAGTAAAATATCTATTACAACTATAGTAATTAATAATATAGTAAATACCTATCACAAATATAATGATTAATAATAAAGCACCTACAACAAGCATAATAGTTACCGATAAAATACCCATCACAACTATAACGATCAACAACGAAACATTCCAAAACAAAAAGAAAAATCTAAATCCGCATAGCATTCCTAAGTGTATTTATCAGGATGTCCAGAAGAAGACACTCGCTGTCGTTTACTATTGACAGTGACGAGATCGTCGGTGCTCCGTCCGTGCCGGAAGTTTTCGTTCATTTGTTGACACTGCCACGTCGAGCAGATCCGTACGAGCCGTCGAAAGGATACACACTCCACTTTAATATATTTTTCACGGGAACATGGCGGGGGGTGGGTGGAAGGCGAGGGCACGTGGTGGCAGGATAAACTGTATACAAGCCCGACGAAAGAACCGGTGCATCCGGCTCTGCGGAACCGCGCGCCATGTTGCATCCGGGCGTAACACGGTGTCGTGACATGTTGTCTTCGGGTGTCGTTAAAACAAACTGTGTTGACACGCGTCGTTGATTTGTTCGCCAGTTCTCCCCGTCGCCGCCGCCATCGCTGGCTATCTTGCCTCGTTTAAATACGAATGTTGTGTTTACAATTTCTCGACCCTGTTAACGTAAACTGGAGTACAAATGGAGCTGAGCATGAATGAACATCAAGCAACGAATAGAAGTGTTGAGACGTGTTGTATGTTTGGATGTCGAGTTAACAGTTAAGGAATTATATTGAAAATTATTTTTCAATATTTTTGGCTGAAGGGATTTTGTTTCGAGGTAGATCATTGATGTAGAGATTCGATCGAGTATTGGAGGATATTTGACGAAGTTTGACACTTTCTCTGGGAATGGTAATCCGTTAATTAGTATAACCTAATGTAGTTGCAATATTTATTCTTGCCCATTGTCAGTGTTATTAATAAACGTGGTTAACTCTAATTTTGTCTGACTATGGAAAGTCTAAAAGTTAATAGTTATAAAATATAGAAGGTATATATATTTC